TTCTGTTTTTTTTATAATCGTTTTAAAGGCCAAAAAATAGAAATAAAAATATGGAGTTGTAGATCTTTTCGAGATTTACAACCTGTTTTTTTTTTTTTTTTTTTTTTTTCCTTAAATCACGATCGTACGGCTGCTGTCCGTACACCCGTACGCCTGTCCGTCCGTACAGACGGGCCGTACGTGGACCCCACGTACGACGTACGGGGGACTACACTGCTCCTTTGCGTGTTGGCGTCTCTCTGCTCCTGGCGCCAACTATCTTCTTGGATGCTGATGTGGCACTTGCCACGCTGTCTTGGAATTGCTGACGTGGCGCATGCCACACTGTCTTCGACACTGATGGGGAATGCGACAAGGAGGGAGATCGGGATTTGTGGGATTGGTTGAGTGGGAGAGGGGAAACTTACCTGTTGATGATGTTGACATTGCGCACTGCAGAGACGTTTTCGTAGGAGAACTGTGCCTACGTGGCACTATGTTGTGATGAGATCTTGTCAGACACGTTCTGGGACATTGCTTACCGGCATGGATGTGAGGTGATGCCCGAAGAAGGAGTGGGGATTGAGGGTGTTCCGTCTACGTGGACATTGATGGATACATTTTTTTCCACCCTCTAAGTCTAATCTCCCTCTTATCCCCTTCGTCCCATGGTTACGATACATTGTATTACAAATCACATTTCACAATTATTAGAGACATTTATATACGCTGAATCATCTTGTATTTCAACACTTCACGAGTTTCCTCCTCACGGGGTTCCTTTCAGTAGGGGTAACACCAACCAAACCTGGAAGGTTGGAACTCTCCCCAGCCCACGGGGTAGGTTCGCACCACAACAGTAGTGGGGGAGCAAGGTTTGTATGAGCCCCTCATTAGGATGATGCGGGGTGATCAGACATTGCTAATGGGGGAAACCGGCGCTGCTAGTGCCGAGCATCTTTGACCAGTCACGTGCACCTCCCTTTTTTTTTTTTTTTTTTAAACCACTAGTACCTCGCCCAGTGTTGGGAAATTAGGGAAAACTGACAATCTTCCCAAACTCCTGAAAGTTCGGTGGCCGGGCCCGAGGACGACTGTCATTGATAAATCTGATCGGTGGCGGTCGTTTCGTTTCGGCCATCCGAAAAGGTCGGAGGCCCACCTGAGGCCCTCTATTGTCCCACGCGGTAAAGGTACTAGTGGTTTAAGAGCGGCTCCATCTATTGCTGGGGAGCAACACCTGCTGGAAAGTGGGCCGAGCGTCCCATAAGCATATAAAAACAGGGAATGTGGGGGTTCCTGCCAGCATTGATTACCCTGAAGTCCAGGGGATTGACGGAGCAGGATAATGGAGGGAGGGGGGATCCTCTTCACCATGAAGCCGGCGCATGATGCTTGTTGTTGCATACAGTTCCTCCCTCCCCCAGCTAGTGATTACTCCGAATTCCACAGTATGGCGAAGTAGGACACCTCGTTCCCCTTTTTGTAAGGTGTAAGTTAATGAGATTGAGAGCCAGGGCCAGTGGCGGGGTGCGCTAGGTAGGTGATGAAGATGATGGTGCTGCTGCAGGCGATGTCAAAGCTGATGATGACCGCTGATCTTTGAGCTCCTTACTCCCGCCCGAACCATCTGATATCTACGATTGTTGTGGCTACAGGGGGAAACATATAAGGAAAGTCCCATGAACTGCCATTTCGTCAAAATGGACATCTCTTATTTTTTGGAACGAAATTGAATCCGAGTTTTTTGGCCGAAAACTCACCAAAATTGGTTGTTCCTGAGGGTCTGGCGTTTGTAAAACGCTGGACCCCCTGGCTGTACATGGACCTAGCTTGAGACCAGGTACCTCCAAGCAGTCCTGCCTGAAGCTACCTGGTCTCAAGCGAGGTCCATGTACAGCCAGGGGGTCCAACGTTTTACAAAAGCCGGACCCTCAGGAACAACAAATTTTGGTGAGTTTTCGGCCAAAAAACTCGGTTTCAATTTCGTTTAAAAAATAAAAGATGTCCATTTGACGAAATGGTCGTTATTGACTCCTCATTGGGATCTCTGGGTTGACTTGCAGCCATTCGTGAAACTGAAGTTTGTTGTTTTTGGTGAATTCGTTGCTTTCCTTTTCATCCCCTTTTTCCCCGTGGCAACAGATGTGTGCTGACCTGCCTCCCTTTTCCTCTCCCAGCCAGTCTGCACAAAATTTACTCATTGCTTTTGTAATATCTGCTTTCTGTGTTAAATGATTTAGCTTTTCCTATACGTGGTTCCACTGGACTCTTATTTTTGTTTCTATGAAGTGTTTAACTATCTCTCCTACTCCCCCTTCTTCCATCCTGGCCCCTTCCTGATCAAACACACATATCCTTGTCCATAGCATCCATACCACGACTTTCCTCGCGATGACGAACAGATTAGTGGCATAGCTGGAGGTTAGTGCCCTACCCCATTCACCTAATAGGAACAATTCCCATTTCCATGGCCATTCCTCCTCAGTTTCAAGTTGAGACCAGATGCGGTCCCACCAGCGCCACATTAGCCCCTGGGCACTGGAGGAAAATGTGTTCTATTGTTTCACAGACTTTGCGGCTTGGGAAACCAGTTAGGCAGAATTTACACCATGGGAGAGCCTCCCCTTTCTGTTCCAGATTAGTTCTGTCAATGATCCAGTTGTTGGTAGGAAGGCATCTATGAACAATCTGCCATTGGAGGGCGGCAAATTTGGATGGTCTTTCCTTTATTCCTGTAAACCACTTTATACCTTTTATTTGATCATCTCCTAGGTTTAGGTGCCTCGTCCACCTCTCCCTTACCACGGTCCTCACATCCACTTTGGGTCTTATCATCCTGTAAGTGCTCTTTACCGACAGGCCAAAGAGTTCTAGTTGCACCTCCCCCTACCCCCCTCCAACCCCACATTAGCGGTCTCTAATGGCCAATATCATTGCTGCATAGCAACCAACAATATTTGGCCAAGGTCCTGCCAATGCTGGCTTGGAGAGCCAACAGGTTATCTCTAGCTGGTAGAACACCAAGCTTGCCCAGGCACGTAAACTTCCTGAATGCAACTGTGCCTTACCAATTGAGCTAAGCTCGCAGGCTAACCGAGGACATTTATGCAAAGGTGTAACCACTACCATCCCGAATACCTTGTATTCGAATACAAGATACCGTAGATACGTACCTTGTAGAACGAATTTTAGGGTGCAACTTTCCTAAGGCAAGGGGAAAAACAAGAAATAAGTATATAGTAAATATTAGTAATAATATCACGAATAGAACACAGTCGATGACTACCAGGACGGGGCTGCAGCGTGAAGTTTTTGTTTTTTTGAAAAGAACGCAATTTTTTTTTTGTTGAAAAGAACACATTGACTGCGCTGCGCGCTCACGACCCAGCATGCATTCGACGCTACCTGTGTGTGTGTGTGTGTGAGTGTGTGTGTGTGTGTGAGAGAGAGAGAGAGAGAGCGAGCGAGCATATAGCCCGTTTGTGGAAGCAGATGCTTGGACGGCGCACGCCAGAGAGAGAGTGTTCCGTGACAGTTACGAGGCAGGCCTCGAATACAAGGTACGTACGTCGTATTCGAGGATACCTTCTATTCAAAAATTTAGCAGCAACTTCTTAGAAGCGGTTTTTCGAAGGTAACTTGAATGCAAGGTACGTACCTTGTTTTAGGGGTTAAAAGGGTAGTAGCTTTCGAACTGCTCCCACATTTTGAATGTTTGGGACCGAGGACAACACCAGGTATGCTGTGTAGTATCTCTACCTCTCTCTCTCTCTCTCTCTCTTGTGTGTGTTGTCATACACATTTAGAATGTATGGGACCGAGGACAAGTCCATATACACTTAGTATGCTGTGTAGTCTCTCTCCCTCTCCCTCCCCTCCCCTCTCTCTTGCATGTTGTCAGCGCGCCTCCCGACTAGCTGAAAGTGCTCCGCGTGTACCACCGACTGAGAGCCACGCTCCACTACTCTCATACACAAAAGACAACATATGGCGATGTATCTTCCCATGTTCTAGCTGA